GAGAAGTCGTTTAACTACAGCATTTCGTAATTAAAAGAGCGAGATTATTTTCTTTGCAGAACATCCTCGACTTAAAGCGTTCATCACACATGGAGGCTATAACAGCATCATAGAAGCATCACGAGCTGCAGTGCCTCTTATCACCATTCCATTCTTCTTTGATCAGATACGGTAAGAAATTTATTATCAGGGAAGAAAGTACAGACGAGGCAGCGCACGCAGAGACTGATCGCATTTGCTTCTGGCTGAGATAGTATGTACTTGAGAGAGGCGGCAGACAGTCAGAAAGGTGAAACTGCGCTTGTTTCGAGAGACGCAGATAGCGTCCTGGCGTCCTGTCTCTGCGTACGATGACTCGCCTTTACCAGATCTTGTTCAAATAATGAATTTTGCGATAAAATATCTTCAACAGAGTAACGGGCATAGTTTAAAATTCGTTGTAATACTACAAATAACAAAGGAGTGAAATTTTTCAGGAATAGTCGCGCAATAGAAGCCAATGGATGGGGAATACCTTTGAATAAACGTGTGCTTCTCGATGAACCTCAAAAACTCCTCAAAGCATTGCACGATGTGCTCAGTAACGAAAAGTAGGTTCATAGCTATTTCTGACCCGAGCCCAAATAAATCCTTAAATTTTCAGATACAAAAAAGCTGCACTCAGGATCTCCACATTGATACGAACGAAACCATTCAGTGCTTCCGATAGGCTTGTAAAATATACAGAATTTGTGCTAGCTAATGGAGGCATGAAAGAACTACTCGTTGAAGGCAGACGTTTACCTTTCATGGTATATCACAACTTAGATATATTTGTGCCATTTGGTATTGTTTCCTTGTTGATTTCTTACTTTGTTTTGCGATTGTCGGGTATGATTATTGCTAGGTTTGTAACAATTGAGAAAATCAAAATGCAATAAAACTTCTGGTATTGAATGAATTTAATTAAATGGTGAAAATTCAACAAATGAGCATCAACAACGTAAAGATCTAACAGAAAAAGAGCAAAATAACAAAATAAACAATAATGAGCCTTCAGCACACTATTTTCGGAATCTGTCGAGCAACTGTTTTGGCTTGGAAGACTCAGTTTTCTCAGTCCCAAACACTTCTTTCTCAACTTCCCTTTTCTCATTGATGCGTTCTTTTCGGATATCGTCAACCACCATACTTTTTCGAAGTTCCTGAAAAATATTTTTATAACTAAATTTATCAATCAAAAACATCGGTCCACCTTATGCGATCCTGTGCCTCGTCCTCGCATTTTGTGTTTCGGTGTATATTCAATGTGGACTGGCCGAACATACAAGATCTTCTTCCTTTCTTCCATTTCCTTCTCTAGTAAGTCTTCATTCACAC